TAAGGCATCTTTTTTAGAGAGAGAAAATATGGGGGTGGTTTGAAATAGAAACAGTTCTTAAGTCTTTGCCATCATGTTGTTTCTTCTCCCCAGCAAGATTTTACACATATGGATGTTTGGGAGAAATAGTGTTTAGGAGAGGAAAACAAAAATAACATTTGCCTCTATTTCTCTGGTCTTATTTTTTCCAAAACTCTTTTTCATTTAAAACCACAAGGTTTTAAGGTTGAGTTGCACAAATTGGTGTGTAACATGTAATTAGTTCCCAAAGCAGGAACTGATTTGTCTCAGACTGATCATATGTATATGAAATCTGGCTGTTGCTAAAAATAATTCCATTCACTGAATTTGTGCATGAATGTTGGGAGAGCACAAGTACAAAATTGGCAATCAGATAACATGAGCAAACAAAATTTCTGTAGTCAGTAGTTGCAAGAACCAGAAAACATTCTGGTTAATTAAAATTAAACAATAGTGTTAAACAATTGTTAGACGCAGGATGAATTGTATCTGTTTACAATGACTACATTTTTATTTTTATTTTGTTTAGGATTGCAAAGAAAGAAAACTAATCCTCTGTTCTAGGGCAGGGGTGTCAAACTCACATCATCCCAGCAGCACCACATGACGTATTGGGACTTTTCCCCCTTCGCTAAACCAGGCGTGAGGGTGGCTAGCACGAGTTTGACAGCCCTGTTCTAGGACATTTGAAAATGGCATATTTGGTTTGCCAGAATGATTATGAAGAGTTCTATAGTTTTGTTACTCTCTTGAATACTGTAAAACTAACAAAACACAGTATTTGTATTATCACGTGCAAAGTGCTTATGATGGTAATAATTCCATGAAGGATGATATTAAAGATGTGTGTGCATTCTGCATTCTTAAATATTTATGAATTTGGGCCAAATCTCACCTCTCTCTTGGCTAGCTTAGTCTTTGAAATAGTTTTGTGTTACCTCTTTTCTCATTTCAGGCTCTTTTCTTTATCTACAGACTTTCTTAGCAACTAATAATAATTCCTACCTGAATAGTACCAAGTTTGATAATACACTGGAGGAGAGCAGAGCTTCTGGTCCTCCAGATACTAACTTTCATCTGACCCAGCATGAAATAGCTCTTCCAGCACTGATCCTCTTATTCAGGTTATTTGACAAAAGGCTTATAGGCGTTATTTTAATGGATTAGGTATAGTTGTTGTTTTAGTGTTTTGATGCCATGTTGTCATAACGTTCCTAGCCCGGGAGCCTCCTATTCCTGCCTCTTTAACTTCATTCCTTATAGTAGATATTCATGAACTGTCAAAAGTTATGATGCAACAAGTTATGGAAGGCCTCAAGTTCTTTATTCTTGCTATCATCTTGGTGACTTTGAGTCTAGCATAGTCTTCCCCAACATGTTGCCCCTCCCCCAAATATTATATTTGAGCAGGTTCAATATACACCTAAGAGATTAAACCAATTTCCATCTATGATTCGGTTCTTAACTTTTTTTTTAGTCTTAGTAATTTGACCACTGATGCAAAGGACAGAACGTGAGTGAAAGGCACATTGCAAAAAACCAACATGCATTGTGTCCAAACCAGTCCACCATACTTCTTTGTGTATATGGATGCAAGTATAAAAGTGCCTAATTAAGGCACTTATGACTTTTATATATGACTCTCTTAATATCCAATTGGTAAAAATGCAGATATGCAGGCAAAGAATGAAAATTTAAGTTTTTCATTTTTCATTGTAGGCTTGATATAAGTAGCAATACCAATAACACTTAGACTTATATACCACTTTATAGTGCTTTACAGTCCTCTCTAAGGGGTTTACAGAGTCAGCATAAAGCTGTTAATTGTTTACAGGAAAAGGGAATTCTTCTTGAGACCAGTACAGATAGTCTTTGATTTATGACCACAACTGAGCCCAGTCCTATAACCGTTGTTAAGGGAAATATTTGTTAAGTGAGTTTGTTCCATTTTGCGAAATTTCTTGCCACAGTTGTTAAACAAATCACCACAGTTGTTAAGGTAGTAACATGCTTGTTAAGTGAATCTGGCTTCCCCATTGACTTTGCTGATCAGAAGGTTGCAGAAGGGGTCACAGGATCCCAGGACACTGCGATGGTCATAAATATGAACCAGTTGCCAAGCATCCAAATTTTGATCACATGATTATGGGGAAGCTGAAATGATCGTAAGTGTGAAAAATGGTCATGTCACTTTTTTCAGTGCTGTTGTGTTTTTGAATGGTCATTAAACAAACAGTTGTTAGTCAAGGACTACCTATAGTTCCAGAAGATTTGTTTTGTGTTTGTTTTGTTTTGTGATAGCTAACCTTTTTGTTGTTGGGTGCCAAAAGTGCATGTGCATGATAGCGCTTGCGTGTGCCGGCACCCATAATGCAAAGTGCGTCCCCACATGCACATGTGTGCACAACCCCTGCTCACATCCAAAATGATCTTGGTATTTCCTCCAGGGGGACAAGAGAGGCTGTTTTCGCCCTCCCCAGGCTGCAGGAAAGCCTCCGGACCCTGGAAGGGTGAAAATGGCCTCCCCCAGCCCTCTGGAAGGCCGAAAATCAGCTGGCTGCTATGCAAATGTGCGCTGGAGCTTACGGCTCGTGTGCTGACAGATATGGCTCAGCGTGTCACCTGTGGCACCCATGCCAAAGATTCGCCATCACTGTTTTAGGGCATCTAAGAGCCCTGGTGGTGCAGTGGTTAGACTGCACCACAGTGGCAGGCTACTTATGCTGGCTGCCAGGGCATTTTGATTCTTACTGGCTCAAGGTTGATTAGAGTTTAGAGTTTTATTTCATTTGTATGCCGCCCTTTTCCCTAAGGGGACTCAGGGCGGCTCACAACTCAAAGGGAAGGGGGGATACAGACAGTTTAACAACAACACAAAACAATACATAGTTAAAAAGCACAACAATCATACCATTCGAGATAGGGGCAGCAAATCTTTAGCCCCAGGCCTGTCGGAACAGCCAGGTTTTAAGGGCTGTGCGGAAGGCCTGGAGGGTGGTGAGGGTACGAATCTCCACGGGGAGTTCGTTCCAGAGGGTCGGAGCAGCCACAGAGAAGGCTCTCCTCCGGGTAGTCGCCAGTCGACACTGGCCGGCGGATGGAATTCGGAGGAGGCCTAGTCTGTGGGATCTAATTGGTCTAGTGGAGGTAATTGGCAGCAGGCGGTCTCTCAAGTACCCAGATTCCCTCTTCCATCCTTCCGAGGTTGGTGAAATGAGGACCCAGATTGTTTAGGGCAATATGCTGACCCTGTAAATCACTTAGAGAGAGCTGTAAAGCACTGTGAAGCAGTATATAAGTCTAAGTGCTATTGCTATCAATCATGTAAATGAATTAAATTCCCTGGTACATCTTCTTCATTATAATGCTAATCATCCCACATAGTGATTGCTGGTTGAATAATTAAAAGCTTGCATGTTAAATGAAAACATTGGCCTGGAGGATGGTGTTTGAAATGTGGCTTAAACAAAATCTATGAAAATTGTTGATTTCTACTAACGTGGTTTCAGGAGTAATATATAGGCTGGAGGGTGGATTCCAGATATAGAAATTTGTAGCATGGTCCTCCTGTCAATCATCTCTTCCCAGTTTTCCTCTCCTGTTTCTCCTAATTTATAATTCTATTCTGAATTAGATTTCCTTCTAGTATGTTTTGTTTCATACTACTGATGTTTATGGCAGCACTTCTTTTTGATTGCAAGAGACTCTTCATTTATAAGCAATTTTATAAGCAATTATAAATCTAACAGCAGTAAATCCCAAGGTCCATTGACACTGAAACCAGCCACTGGATGTTAATCACACTTCTTTGAATAACCAATTTTTCAGATCCTTACCACCATTAACTACATTACATTGATAACCATGAAGCTGTTTTACTGTCTTCTAGGTCCCACAACCCAGCGCCAGGTTCAAAATGGACCCTCTCCAGATGAAATTGAAATTCAGAGAAGGTAAGGAACCAAAATCTACAGAAATATTCAGCTTTTCATTTTAAAAATAAACAGAAGCCAAATTGTTGCCTAATATTTAAACTTGCATGTTGAATTCAGTCATTAGGGGATTTGTTTAGATAATACATTTGCCTTTATTTGTGAAAAATACATAGCTGCACATTCAGTTATTGAAGACAATGGTAAAAGATAGTTAGAATAACCCAGAAGGTTATCTAGTCAAATGCACTGTTTAGGTTTAGTTTTGCTAGAGCATTCCTGGCAGGTCACTCTCCAACTTCTGATAGAAGATTGCAAGCAAATATCTGCTCTTCCCACTGAGAACTTCACAGTCTGACTGCATTTCTTGTTAACCTTGGATTTTGATGTACAACTGAATATCATCAAATATCAACCTGTCTGATGACCTCTCCCAGGAGTTGCTATAGATGATAAATAGGAAAAACAAAAGAGTAAAACTCTAGGACACCCACAGCAGAAGGCCATAGGACAATCAATTGAAATTGACTCCTAAGGAAAAAGAAGCAAAACAGTGTTTCTTCACCCACAAAGGCAAATTGCAAGAAACAATGAATGGTAGTGTGGCAAGTAGCTTCAGAGCCACACAGTTCTGGGGCTGCTTACCAACCCATAGGCAAATGGCAGATTGGCCAAACAAGCAGAGATAAGGGGAGGGGAATGGAATAAGCAGTTGAAGGAGAGGCATTCTCTGACCTTGGAAGAACCAAAGCATGGGGCTTTGAGAGACCAAGCCAAGAATGGTTTGGATTTGGGAGGTGGGTGCCCTTGACTAAAATTTCATTAGGCATAACCATGGTAATGGGGAATGCCAGGACTGCTGTCACTAAGTGATACTGTGATATGACATTGTGCTTTATGATTGCATTTCTTAGCAATGGAAATTCTGGTCCCAACTGGTCATAACTCAAGGACTGCTTGTATCACTTTCTATCCTTGAGTGAAGATGATTCACAGTTAATAGAATTTGAGAAGTTGGCCATAAAACCTCTGAGGGACAAATGAGATTCCATGTAAGTGTCAGCCCTTGAAGCCATCTTTTACTTGGGATCTTCAGGGCTGCCATACTTAGAGCTGTGGGAAACTGGGAAGGGGAGATTGCACGGAGTGGTAGAGATAAATAGCCATAACAACATTCTTTTCTCTGGGAGTCAAGGACAATTCAGTCTACACCTGGAGTGGTGTGACTGGGAGACATCTCCAGTTGGGATGGTGGAGTGATTGGACCACGTGATGGACTTGTGGGTGATGGACATGTGGGGACATTGACTTTCCTTTGGGTGGGGAAAACCCGGAAGCTTTCAGATTCGGGTTTTCCCAGATGTGCCAATATGATATCCCTAATAAAGTGGAACTTTGAGGAACTTCAAACCTCTGAGTCTTCTTTCATTGGGGTTGTTATTTGGAAAGTTGACAGTAAGATATCTTGATGAGCTAGCTTGCAACCAAGATGAAATATTTGAAGTATGGGAAGATAATGATTTGCATTGTTTTTTAAAATTCAAATGGCACTATTTTTCTGAAAGTAATTCCACATAGTTGAGATTTGTCCATCATTTTTACAAGAATTATATTTTAGAATTCACGCAACTTTAATTATATTTGATATAAATCCTAGCACACAATCTTGGATATTTAAGAAACTAATGCAAGCTCACTAGAATTACTAAAAAAAAATCTATATGTGGAAAACCCTACTACAAAATTTTTAAATGACGATTTTCTGTCATAGTCATATTGCTCTTAAGCTAGAAAAACTTATAGTACTCTATGTATGCATTTATTTATTACATTTATTGGTCATCTATCTCATAGAAAGCAACACAATGAGAACATAAATACAAAAGCAAATATATATAAAAAAACCAGAAATAACCAGAATTACAGAATTGGAGGGAACTTTGAAGGTCTTCTAATCCATTCCCCTGCTCAAGCAGACACTCTATACCATTTCAGACAAACAGCTGTCCAATCTCTTCTTAAAAACCCCTAGTGATGGAAATACCCACAACATCCAAATAACCTAATCAGCCAGACGATAAATTCACATAGCTCAGAAGATTGCCAATTATCAATCCCACATCTGAGAGAACAACCAGATCTTAAGGGCTTTGCAGAAAGCCAGCCAAATTGGAGCTAATACGATGGTAGGAAGAATTGTATTCCAAATAGCAGGTCCTGCTACAGGGAGCCATGCTTTCTGGGACACGCCAGGTCAAACTCTTCAATTGATAAGATGCAAAGCATGACCATGCTACTAGAACTGATGGGCCCGTTAGAGACAAAAGGTGATCCTAACATGTGTATCTATTTAAAATAGCTAATATAAAATTAGCTGTCACTAAGCATTTGGTATGTGTAGTATCAGTGAAGTTAGCATAACTCTGAATCACTGTCTTATTGAAAACAGTTGAATGCACACTTAACTTTCTTTTCCAGTAAACCAAGTTACCACAAGGGGATGAGGGTGTAAGGTTGAAAATTGAAGTATCTTTTTTTTTAATTTTGTGTAACTTATCACAGCAACTAAAGGGAGATGACTATGTCTAGTGCTGTGATCCTGTAATACTGATCAAGTATGTCTTGATTATTTGCAGAGCTATTTAATCATCAATATGTTAAAAGAGCAGTTGTGTTTCTATATTTGCATGTCTAGAGCTCTCGCAGCTTCTCAGCCAATTATTGTTTGCTCTTTTGGGACAATAGATGAGCACATAGAACTGCCATCCAATCAGTGCTCATTTTCTGCCTGTTCAAAGCTAAATTGTATCTGAGCATTCTCCTAATTTCACCAATTCTATGCCCTACTAATAGTAAATAATAATAATCCCCTCTCCTTCTTCATAAATGGAATAAAAATAAATTGCTGCTGTTTCTCATCTCCTACACTTTTTTTTTTGCATTTCTATTTGTGGACATTTTTCCAGGATTGAGGGGCGGGGGGAGGAATTCCAGAAGGTGGGGTGGGGGAAGTGTGAAATATAACCAAGTGTATAAAGAATATTCAACAGTTTCCTACGTGGCATGGTGGCAGACCTCCATTCTTCCCTATCCTCTTAACCATGCCAGGACATCACTACAACAGGAGCCAGGCAATTGGCACAGGGCAAAAGAATAATTCCATCTAGTGAGAACATACATACAGTGCAAATGTACACATTCTTTCTGAAGGGACTTTTGCTGGGCAGAGATGATACTTTTTCTTCCACTTGCTAAAACAGTCCTTGCAATAAATATAATTAGTATTTCATAGATCTGGTGATGATATTGTGGAATTGGTGTTGAAGGAACAGCAAATACCATAATATCTCATAGCCAGGCTATGGCTAAAAACATAGATTCCATAATATATATCTTCAATAAAGGCAGTTTTCCATTCCGTACATGCGTAATGCTTCTTGATCAGTCATAACCTCATGTACTATTGAATACACGTTGAATCACTACTAACATTGCAGTGGGCAAGTACAATTCAGATTTCTGGTTTATCATGAACAAGCAGGTATGCTGGTATGGGCTGCTTGATCACCCCTACTTGGCTGTTCTTACAATTGGGAAGAAAGCCTGAGCTAAAAATATCCTTAAGACTTAAGTGGACTCCAGGGATGTTTTTCTTTTAGCAAGCCAATATCATAAATCAGTGATCTTGGCTTATAAACCTGGCTTGCCTAATAATAATATTAGGTTAATATTGTTATAATGTATTAAACAGTATTCTGTGGTGGCACAGTGGTTAGAATGCAGTATTGCAGACTAATTCTGCTGACTGCCAGGCTTTCAATCCTGACTGGCTCAAGATTGACTCAGGCTTTCATCCTTCCGAGGTCAGTAAAATAACCCAAATAGGCTGACTCTGTAAACCGCTTAGAGAGGGCTGTAAAGCACTGCAAAGCATTATGTAGGTCTAAATGCTATTGCTATTCCTCTAGGAAGGATAATATGTATGTAGGTGTTCTTTTTTTTAATGCCTGTTTTTAATGTCTTGATTGTACATTGTAGATTTTGGGGGGATTTTTTAAAAAGAAAAAAATGAAGTTTTGTGTTTGTAGTTTGTATTTATTTTATTTTAAATAAAATTAAAATAGAATATAAAAAATTCTGGCTTGCCAGGCAAGATACAAATTAGAGATCTGACCATGAAAAGAAGTAAGTTTCTTGCTTTCTTCTTCGGATAACTAATATTTTTCAGAAATCTAGCTTCGTTTGAGCTGGATCATTGAATAGAAATCAAACGTTCTTTATTGTCCAATGACTGCACAGAGATTTTTTTTTTAAATCTCCCAATTGGACCCTCCTTGTGATAAG